CAATTTGTCTATGGTAGTCACTCTGTCATACATATCCTGGATATGATGGGGTATCCTTCTGGGAAACCCTTCTGTTACACACTGTACCGAACTATTTCTTATGGTACATAATTATACGCCAAGACCAGACTCAACTGCCATCTTTTTTCTCTGAACTTCTCCGTGGGGATTCATCGTGCACATATGGCATCAATCGTGCTCCTCCCTGGCATGAATCCAGCCTGATCCTTCCAAATTTCAACCATTCCACATAAATACTTTTCAATAATCTTCTTCCATACTTTCCCAGCAGGTGATATCTGCTTAATTGGTTGCTAATTAGCACACAATGGAATATCTCCTTTATGTTTAAAAATAGGCACCACAAAGCTTTCATGCCATTCATCCAGCATTTTCCCTTTCTTAAGAATATAATTAAACAAACGTATAAGATACTTAATACTTTCCATTCCCAGTGATTTCATTTCACTCACTAGTACTTCATCTGGCCCAAGTACTTCCCCTTTTTCATTTTCTTAAGTGCCTCTGTAGCCTCTTCCTTCTGTATGCAATCCATCAGGCCTCAGTTCAGCTTACATGTTCTTATTTCCTCCTTTGGGTTCTCCTCATTCATCACTCTTTCACAGTAATCACTCCAAACTTTGCTAATTAATTCTCTGTTTATTTGCAATATTCCTTATTCATTTCTAGTGTAAGCAAACTTGTTCACGTCTCTCAACATTTTCTCTCTTGCCTTGGCAAGTCTTTTGATGGTCTTCTCTCCCTCATGTCCTCCTAGTCGGTTATATAACACATCATGGGCCACACTTTTAGCCCCCACAACACTTGTTTTGGCTGCTTTTTTGCCTCCATGTATGCCATGTTATCTCTCCTCAAGCCACTGACCAGCTTTTTTTTTGAAGGTTACTATTTTTCATCCCCAACAGTTGCTTTAACTTGAGGAGTCCACCACCCAAATCTCCCTTCATATCCTTTTTGGCGTTGGTTACATCATTTCTAGGACTTCATGTGCCATTTCTAACAGTTTACTTTCATTTGAATCAGTTGTCCTCTACCCATCCCTGTGTGTAGTCAGGAAGTCTATGCATTACTCTTTGTTTGAAGGTTTTCTCATTCCCATCTTTAAGTTGCCATCACTTAGGCCTCGCTGGTGCCCAGGGGCTCAGACGTTTCTGCATCCTGGAGTCCATAAGGAGAAGTCTGTGCTGTCTCACAGTGCGCTCTCTGGGTATTACCTTACAATTAATTATTTGTGATCTATCTAAGAAATCAATTTGGGACTTGTCCTCCACTGGCACAAGTTATGAGATGGCTTTCCCTTTTCTGCAAGTGCAGTCACCAATTCCAATGCCAGACAAGTCTGTAGAACCTTTCCCCCCTCATGGAAAATGTGTTTATGGTTCCAGTGCCTTATGGCCTGCTTCATATCCAGCCTTGTCAGTTCAAATCTGTGCATTTTAGATCTGTTCCAATAAATGTCTTCTCATTGGATGGTATGTTTCCAATAAGGCACAGCAACTCATCGAAAAACTTCTCTTTTGATCCTCTCAGGATTCTCTGCATCTTGAGGTCTTTAAACCACGATTTGAGGACTTCAATAACTCAGGCATAGGTTAGTGGTTTGTTACAGGCGTGGGTGGGTGGGTGAGATTCTGTGGCCTGCGTTGTGCGGGAGGTGAGACTAGATGATCATAATGGTCCCTTCTGACCTTAAAGTCTATGAGAACTCTCCTAACTGTGGTGCACGTCAACTTATTATACGGATAGTGACATCTTCCCAACACAATTTAACATCCATTAGTCAGTCCAACCTTCTGGTAATCTCCATCATATGCCTGTGCATGGTTTCATCTGGAACAATTTACAACACTATTTTAGGAAGTTTAATTCCCCGAGTAATAGATTTTGTAACCCTCCACCAGCATCTTGGCTCTACAACTTTCCCTATGATCTTTTGTATACATGTCATGTTTACTATTCGTCTCATTTTCAGACCTCGCATAGTTCCAGACTTCCTCCAGAGAATGTTCTACATTCCAACTTGCATGTCTGCGTATTCACTTGCTTCTTTAACTTCTTTTAGCGGCCTTTTCCTAGTTACAGTAGTCAAACAAGGCTGCTGTACATAGCTTGCAGGGAACATCTTAGCTCTCTGGGGTACTTGACATAGACGTCAGTTCACATGAGCATGTCTGCTGGGTGAGCTTTATAGGTCAGCTATCCAAACCTGCGACCTTTTGGTTTGAAATTGGAGTTTCCCTTCTCCTAGTTGAGCTGCCTACCAAGGGTGACAAGCTCCACCTGCCCTGGCAATACCTTTGGGTTTTTTATAAACATATTTAATCATCATCAGTTTAGCCTTCCTTCTTTGCAAACTCTTGGTCAGCAAAAAAACAGTCTCTTCCTCCCCCCCCACCTTTTACCTAGCAACTGTGCCTAAGCAATCAATAATAATTATAGGCTGGGGTGGTAGCCCGGCCTATTATTAAGATTGCCCAACATGTCCCATAAGACCCTATTTTCAGTAGTTTATAACTTTACCAGACTTCAACTGTTTGGGCTGAAATTTTCCATGCTGGGTGTCTGCCTCGGGCTGATTTTGGTTTTGAAAATTTCAGCCAAAACGATTCCCTGAGTTCCGAGAAAGAGGCTAGTGAAAGGTACATTTTGTCCATGTTTAAGAATTTGAGTTCTCTTTCCTTTAAACAGCGCTAGCATCTCCGTGCTTTTGAGCAGGGACTTGAAATTTCTCAGAGTATGGCCCTGTGTTGTCCACATTAAAATCGCCCCAAATTTGGCCAAATTGTAAGCCATTGAAAAATTGCAGTTCACACATGTTCAGTAGAGACTTCTTAAACTGGGACTTGCTGGACAAAGAGACTGGAGCTAGGAACCAGTGTAGGTGGATACTGGGGAAAGTAATGGGGGAGGAGGCGTGGGGGTGACTGATGGGATGAGGAGCCTGAGAGGAGAGACTGGGAGCTGTGTGGGGAGCAGAGAGAGACGTCAGGTGTGGAGCTGGAAAGGGGGAAGTGGAACTAGCTGGGCAAGGTGACAGGGCTTGGGGGGAGAGATCTGTGAAACCTGCTGGCAAAGGTCCCATACCACTCTACTGCTGGTCCTCACAGAGGTTGACAACCTACTATTGCTATCAGTTACTCCATTAGCTCAAGTAGCAGAGGACTGTGTAGTGGATCTAAAGGTTCCATCCCTGCTAATATGATGCAACATGGTAGAAATCCTGTTTTTTCAGTTGGCTATTTTAAAAATCGAGGAAATTACACACAGAAAAACTGTTAAAAGAACATTTTTAAGGTTGCAAAGTCAAACACTCTAAAGTTATGTAATGGCAGAATTAAAATTCTCTGTGCAACCTTAATTCGTCTCCCTTGTGCATATGCATTGTCATAGTCTTTAATTGCATGATCACATACTGTTAGTGACTTCCTCAGCATCACATAGGAACACTGTGGCAGCAGGAGGAATAGAAACCCATCCTCCAGGCAGCATTCAACTCCTTAACCAGAAGACCAGCCTTTCTCTTCCTGCGGTCCTTGGCCTCATTCACTACATGCCTTCCAAATTCTGCAACAAATGAGACAGGCGTTGTACAGATAACAGCCTCCTTCACTACACAGCCCTGTTTTATCTTCAGAAGAAATCCACTGCACTGATTGATGCAGAGGTCTTGTGGGAAAAAATTGTACTTGATCATCTAATGAAAGACTGTATCGTAATGCGTAGATGTAAGGGGGCTGAATTAAGGTTGCACAGGGAACCTTAATTCTGGCATCTCCTAACTTCTGAGTGCTGGACTTTGCAACCTGAATAATAATATTCTAACATAGTAAAGAGTTTGGCGAGGGGTGTGTGAGACAGACAGCAAAAGTGTAGGTCAGCAATGAAGAACGTGTGTAAAAAGAGCTGATCCCAAAAATCTTAGTGGAGAAAAATAACTATTTAAGATTAACTCCTATTCTGAAAAGTTAAATGCATGGGGAAAGGTAAAACTGAAATCTTTTTAAATTACTTTTTCAAGTAAAATGAAATAAACAGGGTGCATGTCATGAAAGAATAAAATCCATCCGTTTGTTTTGCATTAACAGATGGAGTTTCTTCTTTGATATGGGCGTCTTTTAAAAAAAAATTAAGACTTAAAACTTTGCTACGTCTTGTAAGATGGAAACTGAATTTGCAGTTTCATAAAACTGTTTTGTGACTTTCAGGGATTTTTTGGTGGTTTGGGGTTTGTTCTGTTGATTCATTTTGGTGGAGGGAATTTAATGAATCTAATTCTTCATGTAAGAAGAGAAAATGGGACTTCATTGCTGGGGATGAAATGATTGTTTAGCTTTTCTATACCATAGCAATAGTACAGATATGACCCACAAACTTTACAGTTACATACAGATAATATGGACAACGCTTGCACATCATTGAAATTGTGGCTATCTTTTCCCAATGCACACCTTCGAAAGGTTTCTTTAGCTCAGTGATACTCATACTGAGGTTCATTGCTGCACACGATATTAAAATGCTGTGTGATTTAATTATTAACCAATCTAAGTTATTAACCAATCAGGATGCTTTTACTATGTTATTAACCAATTGTAGTTGATAAAATAATAATACTTGGTCATTTTTTTGTGAGAATACTAATATATATATATATATATATATATATATATATATATAAGTATTTCCCCCTGTTGTACTGCTTAAATATGAATATATAGTAAATGAAACAATAAATTCACACTACTGTGGCTCTTTTGGGTAATGTTAATTGTTAATTTGGCTCCTGAATACCACCAAGGTCTGAGTATCACTGCTTTAGCTCTATCCCAGAGGAGAAAGAGAGGATTGAACTTTAACCTTCTATACATTCCAAACAGAAAGTAATAATTTGTGTTTCTTAATTTAAAAAAAACTTCACAGCAAAAAGTGTTGGCCCTCTTTAAACTAAGAATATTTCTTCTATTTCCCCCTCTCTCTTATAGATTTAACTCTGGTTGGTCTACACCAGCAAATGGAGAAGAGATCCATAAACGAGTGAAAAACATTTTAAGGACACACAGTGCTAGGCAAAGGCTAACATTTGTAAGTTTTATGTTCACAAGCTAAAAAACATTATTTGCCACAAAATATTTTAGGAAAAAAATTGTGCCTCCTATAGGTTTTGTGTAATAAAAGGTTTATTGTCTGTGTAAGTCATGGACAGTATGGCAGGCACTATGCAGCCTTTATGGACGGGGTGTGGGTAACTCCCTCACAGAGCGTCAAGGGATACTGACATTGTGTTAATCTTTACATTTCTCTCTCCTGCTCCAATTTAAAATAAACTTAAGAGAAATGTGTTATGTGACTTCAGAAAGCTTAATTCCCAGGTGCCTGAACGTCACCCAGCCGGGGATACTGTATTCAGCTGTTTTGTACAGGTATCTTTATTCCTCAGATGCATGTAATTTTTTCTTCATTACCTGACCTTCTCTGAATGGTGGAGGAAGAGAGTGTTCTCTACGTAAATAAGAAGTTTATGCCCTAGATCAGTGAATTTCATTCTTCTCTCAGTTAGAACTTAAGGGCATTTGTAGTCAGATAAGTGAACCCATATTCTAGTGTGTCGGAGTCCTAGAAACATAGGCCAAGATTTTTTTAAAAGTTAAGCTTCTACAGCCATAAAAGCAATTCTGCTCTGAAAGTGATTTTGTAAAATTGGCATAATGAGATTCCGTTTTTGTGTCTTGGTGACTCCAGGTCAAATCAATTTACAAGTAAAAAGATTTTATTATAATTGCCTAACTCAACCTGGAATCTGAAAGTCGGTATGTGTTCATTCTGCCTCATGGTCCCCCAACAATAATTCTGTAGTTGAAATGCAATTAACAGTGCTGCTGATCTGTAAGCGAGACTGGAATCCAAGTCACTCTCCTATAGCTGTATTGGCTAGTCAGAGGTAATGAGAGTAAAAACACTAGTAAAACTCAAATTGGAGCAGATCTACACAGTAGTGATAATACTTAAATGTTTTCATCCATGGAACTTAAAGGGTTTATGAAAGAGAGCTAGTGTTAGAGATGGGGAAACTGAGGTGCAGAACGGTGAAGTGACTTGTCAAGGTCACCCAGTAGGTCAGTGGCACAGCTGGGAATAGAAACTGGTCTCCTGACTTGTTGTGCTACCCTATCCAAAGACAAGAAGGCATCTCTTCTTCTTTTTTTCATAACACTCTTCAGAGTAGAATTGTGCTTAAAAAACCTCAAATCTATGTAGCCAGAAATCTCTTTAGTCTGAACCTATTTCCTGAAGTTTCAAGTTGCTCAAGTTCATCTATGTCCTTTGTGCTCTGTTGACAAGTTAAACAGTATGACAATCTGTTAAATGCTTTTGTGATGTTCCATTTAGTCTGATAATTCCCCTCTTGAAGCTCTACCATTGTATGGGGTGAATACTGTTAGAGAAATTTCCCTTCGCGAGATCTCTTATCTCCAAAGCACAGACTTCTCTTGTCGCTCCACCTGTGCATGCAACATAGCTGAGGGTGAGCAAAGCATGTTATATCCCATACCAGCTTACTGCAGCACTGAGTATCTTAAACCATTCTTTACTGAGAACTTCACAAATACAAACTCCTACATCTTCAGCACTCCGGCACAAATAGCAATTATACCTGTACTCAGGTTTCACTGCGAGTATGGATAGATCAGTTTTGTTCAAAGGTTGATTTGAGATGTTGGTGCTGTCACACTTTTTTGTCACTGGTCATGAGACCAAGCCTCCTTCCTTCCCTCATCTTTATCCTCTACGTTCTCTTAATATTAAACATTCCCTTGTTTTTCTCCCATCATGAAAATCTTACTGAATCCCAACTATTGTATTATACTTTCCCTCCTCTCTTGATCATATGGACAATTCCTTCCTACCAACTCTCTTTGACACCTTGTGACTAGCTTTCTGTAGAGTCAAGTGGCAAAATCACTCTTGCAAAAGAAACCCATGATAATATCTTGGCAAGATCTAATGGCTTTAGCTCTCTCTTCACCTTTGAAAGGACTGATAACGCCTCCTTGTCCCTGGTCTTCCAATTCAATGTACTGTGTCTTGGTTTTTCTCCTTCCTTTCTAACTAGCTCTATAGTCTATGGCTCTATCTTCTCCTCCTCTCCCTCTTCGTCCGAGTTCCTGGGACTCCATCCTTGGCTCTGTCCTCCCACTCTCTCTGGGTCATCTCATCCATAACTATCTTTACAGTAGTAGTTATCCATAAATCTACTTCTCTGCTTCTTATTGTTACTTCCAATTCTGCATCTTGCGGCTACCTATGATTCACGATAGTGAACCCATTCTTGGCTGTTCCCCTCGCCCCGTTGTCTCATGCCACCACCATTTTTCCTGTATTACAGGCTCTCATTCCTAGTGTCATTTTTGATTAGTCTTTGATTCTTCCATCATGGCCAAACCATTGCCAAAACTTGTCATTTCCTTTTTTACAATACTTCCAAAATTAGTCTCCTCTTTTCACACCCACTGCCAAGGTGATAGTCCATGCTCTAGTAATTTCCTCCCTAGGTTACTGTAACCTCTTCCTCATTGGCCTTCCCCTCTTCTCTTCCTCTTTTAGTGCATCCAAAATGTATCTGCTAAGATCCACATGTTGTCAAAGCTCTCCATAGCTCCACTCTGCTTTTATACTTTCCCTCATCTCTACCCCCAACCCAGCCTCATCACTATGTTCTGCCATACTTCCTGTTTAACTCTACCTTGTCTCCTTTTCCCACGCTAAAATTCATGTCTCCTTTCATGCTTCCCTGGCTTCGCACTCCAAGTTCCATGCAGCCTCTCTGGGTATGTCTACACTGCCAGTTGGCCTGTGCCTAGTGGCTTCGAGCCGGGGGTTCAGCGCCTGCTGGCTCTGGATTGCGAGGCTCAGACCCTTAGCCCAAGTCAACAGGCATGGGCCAGCCATGGGTGTTTAATTGTAGTATAGATATACCCTCTGAGAGCGATACTTGTTCAGTGACGTGTATCCTTAGCGCCCTCTACCAGCTGTGTGTTATATTGTACCTGCTCTGACTTTAGACTGTTGGATTTTCCTATTTACTGAAAGGTACAGTTTGACACTAATGGTGCTATATATATATCAGAGGGGTAGCCGTGTTAGTCTGAATCTGTAAAAAGCACCAGAGGGTCCTGTGGCACCTTTAAGACTAACAGAAGTATTGGAGCATAAGCTTTCATGGGTGAATGCCCACTTTGTCAGATGCATCTGATAAAGTGGGCATTCACCCAC